TATTTTGTATATACGGCCTATTAGCTTAATGTTAAAATTGTCCCTCTAGAATAGATAATGACTAGGTGAAGTTATGTATTCATACAGTGGGGGGGGGGGGTTATAAAAAATAATTAACTCCTGACAATGACTTTTTGGATATAACAGCAAACGCATAGGCAATAAAGCAAAATAGATAGCACTACAAAAACTTAAAAGCTTTTATGCATAAAATGATAGAATCAACAAAGTAAAAAGGTAACCTTCAGAATGGGAGAAAATATCTGCAAATCATATATCTGATGAGAGAATATATATAATCTTTATATAGTCAGAGTATATAAAGAATTCCTGTACCTCAACAACAAAAAACAAATGACCTAAAAATGAGCAAAGGACTGGAATAGACATTTCTCCAAAGATAACATACAGATGTCCAACAAGCACATGAAAAGATGCTCAACATCACTAATTACCAGAGAAATGCACATCAAAAACCACAATATCACCTCTCACCCACTACCATCAAAATAAACAAAAAACAGAAAGTAAGTGTTGGCAAGGATGTTGAGAAATTATAATCCTTGTGTCTTGTTCTTGGGAATGTAAAATGGTACTTTGGAAAACAGTATTGTGAGTTTTCAAGAATTAAAAACAGAATTACTATATGACACAGTAATCCCACTTCTGGTACATAAAAGAATTGAAAGTAGGATCTCCGTACACCCATGTTCATAGCAGCATTATTTACACTAGCCAAAAGGTTATGAGAACTCAAATGTCCATCAACAGATGAGTGGATAAACAAAATATGCATGGGGGGCTGGGGTGCATGTGCACACAATGAAATGTTATTCAGTATTTTCAAAAAAGAAAATCCTGTCACATACTACAACATCGATGAAACTTGAGCATATTATGCTAAATAAGCCAGTCACAAAAACACAAATACTATTAATATATGATTCCACTTAAGTATGTAAAGTAGTCAAATTCATAGAAATAAAATAGAATGAATGGTGGTTGCCAGAGGCTGGGCAGAGGGGGGGAACCAAGGAGCTCTTTAATTGGTATGGTTTCAGTGTTGTAAAATGAAAAAGTTCTGAAGATACCCTCCACAACAATGGGAAGATACTTAGCATTACCAAACTGCACACTTTGAATGGTTAAGATGGTAATATTTACGTTGTGTTTCTTACAATTAAAAAAATTAACTCCTTTCTCTCCTTTCCCTTACTTATCCTGTTTGAAGCCAAGGTAATAGAAAGAAGCGAGAGAAAAGCAAAGAGCACAAGGGCTTCAACAATGTAAGAAAAAAATTAATAAAAACAGGTAGCCCCACATTTTTATTAAATTAGCAATAATTTTCTTCTTATGAAAATAAGTGAAACTATCTATATCCTATTGGCAAGGCAATAGCAGTTAAAGGCCTTTTGGAGTCTGAAAGCTCAGTTACTACCCTGACTTTTCCACTAATTGTTGTGTGATTCTGGGTAAGATAATTTCATTCATTCACTCATTCATTCATTCACGCCTTCATTCATGAAAAATCATTTCCATGTATGTAAACTGGGTCAGATGAATGCTATACCTCTATGTACAACTTTTGGCATTGTGTAACTGGCCAATAAATATTAGTTATTTTTACTTTGAAGCCTAGAGAGTAGGACAATAAAGAAGGTGAATTCAACTGAAGAAGCCCAATACCCTATTCCTTAGAGATCCGTTTGTCAAAAATTAACACGTTACCATTCACATACTAGTTAGCAAATCATTACTGACTCTTGATCATTCTCGACTCTCTTCTAAAGGCACTCACTCTCTCTCCCAAGGAAAAGCAATGTCATCGCAGGTATTCGAAGATGTTTGTTTTGGGAACAGTTTTCTACAGATTCCAGAAATGGTGGAACCTGCGATTAGCCACTACATTTCCCTGTTCCTCTCACTTCACGAGTGGCCTAGGCCTTATTTGGGGTGAAAATGGGGAGGGGATATACACTCAGATATATAAAACCCCACTGTGGTAAGACGGGATCAGACAAGTCTCCCGGGAGAACGAGAGCTGGACATTTACAAAAACGGGCCGGGGAGCCGTCCGGCAGGCTGGGTAGGGACCCCGGGCCGGCTCCGGCGGGGCCGGGTGGGGGAGGCCCCGGAGGGACAATGGTGGGGGCGGGGCGGGCTCCGCGGGGGTCTGGCGACGGGGCGGCGGGGAAGGGTCTGAGGTCTCACCGCGGGCCGAGGGCAGTGGGTAGAGCTTCTCGGCCTTCTGCAGGAAGCGCTGGGCCTTCTCGCGGTTGCCGACGTTCAGGGCCTCCCGGGCGATCTCCACACATTTCTCCGCCTCATCCCGGTTCCCCTCCATGGCCTGCGGCGTCTTCCGTTTCCTCCGGTAGCGTGGCTACGAGGGGCGGAAGCCGTCGCCGCGGAGAGGGCAGGCCGGCCCGCTGGGGGCGTGCGGCGGCGAGCGAGGAGGAGCGCAGGGGACCGCGGCGGCGGCGGCCCGGGCGAACGGG